AAGCTCATTTAACATCCGAGAGGAAGTTCTAGCCAGTGCAGTAGGGCGAGGAAAGAAAGAAAAGGAAGAAATAAACCTATCTGCATTTGCAGGTGACACAATTATCTGTGTAGAAAATGTCAAAGAACCTTGAAAAAGATTCCTAGAATTAATAAGTGAGTTCATCAAGGTTTCAGGATACAAGATCAATAAACAAAACTCATCAAAATGTATACATGAAGTATGTGCAAGTTTTTATATATCAGTGATACCTCAGTAGAAAATCAGATGCGTTTCTGTATACTAACATGTGCTAACGATGAATAGATTCCAGAAGAAACAAGGGTCTGACACGGCCATGGGGAAGCAGAAGAAAGCGGGACAGTTTGCGAGCATGGAGCGAATGCTCAGTCTCAGATCAAAGGCTCAAAGAGAAGGGCAGGTTAAAACCTAAGACGGAGGAGAAGGACGGTCATAGAGTGCCAGACAAGTTCCTCAGCACCGTGCCTGCTTGTTTTCCAGTACAGTACACAGCTGGGCCCACCCTGCCGCATCCTGTGGATACAAACTTTATCAACTTTTCCATCAAAGCCATGCTGGACTTAGTGCAGGCAGTGATGGGCGGTCCGTATGCCAAGTGTATCCCTTGTGTGACTGATTGTATAATGGTTGAAACGGAGAAATTGTGGCAGAAGTGTCGGGTGGCTCCCAGGATCATCAGGGATCCGAGATGTGAACAGTTACCCTGCACACACGCAGGAGCCCTCGCAGATGACCGCCTCAAACAGGAACGCAGCATTAAGTGTCACATTGTGGCCACGTTGACCAGAGACCCTAAAAGAGGGATCCATAAGATTCCTAGAGTTCCTATCATGTACATTTCTAACCATAGATACAAATGGAAGTGATGCCAGAGGACTGTGGAGCCCCTTGGTTCTAATTTTCACAGACAAGGCTCCTCTGCCTTTCTGAGACCAGCTTTCTCTAGCTGCCCGTTCATTAAGCAATACCACAGGACAGCAGCCTTTTCAAGAATGGTGCTGGAGCAATTAGATGCACGGTGGCAAAACCAAACAACAGTAAAACCCTCTACCCACACCTCGTATTTTATACAAAAATTAACCCCAAATTAAGTTAATTTAAATGTAAGTTAAATAAACGTAAACTATAAAACCTTTAGAAAAAAATACAGGAGAAAGGCCTCAGGACAAGTGTTTTGGCAAAGAGTTTGTTGTTCTTGCCACCACAAGCAGAATTGCCGAGAGTTAAAACCAGTGATTGGAATTCATCAAAATTAACTTTTTTTTTCTCTGCAGAAGACTCAGTAAAATGGATAAAAAGGCAAGCTACAGACTGGGGCAAAATATTTTCAAAACCATCTACCTGAGAAAGGTGTTGTATCTAGAATGTTTAAAGAACTTTGAAATATCAAGAATAAAGAAAAAACATCCAGTTAACAAGGGGCAAAGTCATGAATATGTGATAAGACGTTCACTAGCATTTGCCATTAGGGAAATGTGAATTTAGACTACAATGAGATACCATCACCTGCCTATCACAACAGCTAAAAAAAAAAAAAAAAAAAATGGGCCGGGCACGGTGCTCAAGCCTGTAATTCCAGCACTTTGGGAGGCCGGGGCAGGTGGATCACGAGGTCGAGAGATCGAGACCATCCTGGTCAGCATAGTGAAACCCTGTCTCTACTAAAAATACAAAAAAATTAGCTGGGCATGGTGGCGCGTGCCTGTAATCCCAGCTACTCAGGAGGCTGAGGCAGGAGAATTGCCTGAACCCAGGAGGCGGAGGTTGTGGTGAGCCGAGATCGCGCCATTGCACTCCAGCCTGGGTAACAAGAGCGAAACTCCGTCTCAAAAAAAAATGATAACACTAAGTGCTGGGGAGATGCTGAGAAACTGGATCTTTTGGACATTGATGCTGACTTTACAAAATGGTAAAACACCATAGCCGCCTTGGAAAACAGTTTGGCAGTTTCTTAAAAACCTAAATATGAGTCTCGCATACAACCCAGCCCTTGTACTCTTGGGCATTTATCCCGGAGGAATGAAAGCTAATGTTCACACGAAAACTTGTATGGATGTTCACAGTAATTGTATTTGGAATAGCTCCAAATTGGGAACAACTCAAATTTTCTTTGTGGTGAGTTAAACTATGGTACATCTACGTCATGGAATACTACTCAATAGATGAACTACTGATATGCAAAAAACTTGAATGGATTTTAAAGAAATTATGCTGAGTGACAAAAACCATGTATAGTGTGATTCCATTTATGTAACATACTTAAAATGACAAAATGGCAAATCAGTTTGTGGTCACCAGGGGTTAGGGCTGAAGGAGAGTGACAGTTGACTCTTACTATAATGCGATCTTTGTGATGGAATTCTTATTTTTCTTTTTTTGAGATGGAGTTTTGCTCTTGTTACCCAGGCTGGAGTGCAATGGCATGATCTCAGCTCACCGCAACCTCCGCCTTCTGGGTTCAAGCAATTCTCCTGCCTCAGCCTCCCAAGTAGCTGGGATTACAGGGGCGTGCCACCATGCCCAGCTAACTTTTGTATTTTTAGTAGAGACGGGGTTTCACCTTGTTGACCAGGATGGTCTTGATCTCTTGACTTCGTGATCCACCCGCCTTGGCCTCCCAGAGTGCTGGGATTATAGGCGTGAGCCACCACCTTGTGATGGAATTCTTACCTTGGTGGTGGTGGTTGTCATCAAATCTTCGCACGTGATTAAGTTGCACAGAGATAAATACAATGAGTACACACACCCACACATATAAAATTAGTAAAATCAGAATATGGTTGATGGTTAATTTCCTGGTTGTGATATTGTACCATAGATATTATACAAGATATTTCCATTGGGGAAACTGGGTTAAGAATATATGGAATCTCTCTGTATTGGTTCTTAGAACTGCATGTGAATCTACAAATATCTCAAAATAAAAGGTTAATTCACATGCAAAAGAATAAAATTGGACCTCTGCTTACACCATATATAAAAATTAACACAAAATGCATCAAAGACCTCAATGTAAAAAGCTAAAGCTATAAAGCTCTTAGAAGAAACATGGGCATGACTGGGTGCGGTGGCTCTTGCCTGTATGCTCAGCACTTTGGGAAAGACAAGGCAGGATAACAGCTGGAGCCCAAGAGTTCAAGACTAGCCTCGGCAACATGATGAGACCATCTCTACACAAAATTTACAAATTAGCCAGCTGTGGCAGTGCACCCCTGTGGTCTCAGCTACTCAGGAGGCTGAGGTGGGAGGATTGCTTGAAGTCAGGAGGTTGAGGCTGCAGTAAGCTGTGTGCACCACTGCACTCCAGCCTGGGTGACAGAGAGAGATGCTTTCTCCCAAAAAACAAAACAAAAATAAATGAGAACGTTCTTAGCTATATGTTACTGAAATCATACATATACCCAAGTAAAAAAAAAAGTTGTTATAGTTTTTCAAAGTTAAAAACATTTTTTACTTCGAAGCACAATATCAAGAAAGTGAAAAGACAACTTGCAGAAAGGAAAAAAAAAGTTTTTATTTATAATATAATTATAAGGGACTTGAATTTAAATTATGTAAAGAACTCTTAGAACTCAACCATATAAAAACAAATGGCCTGTTTTTTAAATGGGCTAAGGGTCTGCACAGACAGTTCTCCAAAGATATGCAAACGATCAATCAGCACCTGAAAAGATACTCTCCAACATTAGCCATCAGGGAAGCACATCTGAAAACCACAAGGAGTGACTACTCCAGACCTGCAAAGATAACTACAACTAAAAAGACAGATAATTGGGGCGCGGTGGCTCAAGCCTGTAATCCCAGCACTTTGGGAGGCCAAGGCGGGTGGATCATGAGGTCAAGAGATCGAGACCATCCTGGTCAACATGGTGAAACCCCGTCTCTACTAAAAATACAAAAATTAGCTGGGCATGGTGGCGCGTGCCTGTAATCCCAGGTACTCAGGAGGCTGAGGCAGGAGAATTGCCTGATCCCAGGAGGCGGAGGTTGCGGTGAGCCGAGATCGCGCCATTGCACTCCAGCCTGGGTAACAAGAGCAAAACTACGTCTCAAAAAAAAAAAAAAAAAACCAGATAATAACAAATATCAGTGAAAATGGACTTTTCATACCTTCCTGGTACAGGTGGCGGCTTTGGAAAAGGTTCTGGCAGTTCTTCAAAAGGTTAAATACAGAGTTACCATGAAGCAAGTCAGTGGGTACAAAGTTACAATTCAGTAGAGGAATGTGGGGCTAGGGTTTCGCCACATTATAGTAAATATAATGTATATTTCAAAATAGCTGGAAGAGAGGATTCTGAATGTTCTCACCACAAGTAAAAGATATGTGTATGGATATGTTAACTCCCCTAATTTGAATATTACACATTGTATATGTGTATTGAAACCTCACACTGTACCCCATAAAATGTATAATTATGTATCAATAAAAATAAAATTATAGAAAAACGTTTTAAAAGAAGAAAGGACTATATAGGACCTTCTGATTTTGTGCTGTTAGCTTTGTTTGAGCAGCTGTATACACTTTGAAAAAGATACATTTAAAAAGTGTCATGGCTGTTATCCCCAGCGCTGTGGGAGGCTGAAGATAGGGGGTTCCTTGAACCCAAGAGTTCAAAATTAGCCTGGGCAACATAGGGAGGCCACATCTCTACCCTGCCCCTCCCCCCCCCAAAAAAACAATTAGCTGGGCATGATGATGCTGTGTACCTTTGCACCCAGCTACTTGTAGGAGGCTGAGGCAGGAGGATCACTTGAGCCCAGGAGGTTGAGGCTACAGTGAGCTGTGATCACACCACTGCACTCCAGCCTGGGCAGCAGAGTGAAACCCTGTCTCAAAACAGCAACAAAAAAAGTAAAAAAGTATTTTGCAGACTACTCAGGCTGACACCCCATTATTAAGCCAAGTTTTATTGTGCTTTTTGAGTAATAGTGATACCATCTTCAACAGAATTTAAATAGGCATATTTGTTAATTTTCAGCTTTCTAATGAAGATCCTGAGATTTTTGATGTCTCATCCAAGTGTCTGTCTATACTGGTTCAGCTGTATGGAGGGGAAAACCCAGACAGCCTCTCTCCTGAAAATGTGGAAATTTTTGCTCATTTACTGACATCCAAGGAAGACCCAAAGGAGCAGAAGCTTCTGTTAAGGATTCTCAGGAGAATGGTGAGTTCACACAGAAACTGGGGACACTGTGGGTGACGTCCCTGGCTGCCACATGGACAGTAAGTAGCCATTTCTTGGACCTAATTTCAGATTTCCAGAAAATATGCAAGAGTGGTAAAGAACTCCCTGTTACCTTTCTCCTTAATCGCCCGCTGTTGACATTTGTCATATCCTGTTGATCTGCATCTCTGAATCATTTGGGAATATGTTAGGGACACGGTGCCTCACGCCCCTTAACATCTAAGTATGTATTTCCTAAAGTAAAATTGATATTCTGGTACTTAACCAGTCAAAATCAGGAAATTTAACACTGATAAAATTCCCTTACCAGTCCTCTGTCCATATTCTAGTTGGGTCAGCTGTCCCAGTAACTTTCATAGGTGTTTTCCTGGGATGGGATACAGTGGGGATTATGTGTTTGGTAGACACAGGTTAGTCTTTCAGTCTTTCTTCGTCTTTGATGATATTTTTGAAGCTTATAGGGCAGGTATTTTGTAGCATCTCCCTGAGTTTGGGTCTGTGTGGTGTTTCTTCACGATTTGATTCATGAGTAATCTAGAAGTAAACTGGTCCTTCTCAGTCCATCTCATCCAGAGGCTGCTGGTGGCTGTTTGCCCCTTATTGGTGGTTTTAATTTTGATCGCTTGGTTTAATCTACATATAGTTGGTTACTGTTGTTTGGTAGTTGTTGCAAAATGGATATTTTCTCATCCCCAACGTTTCTAACTCCCAGCATTCTACTGTAAGGAAAAACTTTCCCTTCTGCTTTGCTTACTTTATTTAAAAATGTATGTGTAGCTGATGTCTATTTGAAAGTACTTTTGAAAACCTATTCCGTTTCTGCAGCAAACCTTTCTCTGCTGATTTTGAAGGCCTCTATTTACAGTCGCCAGTGTTTAAGTTAGAACAGGGTGGAGGTTCCATTCACCTGTCATCTTCTGGTTTGTCAGTCTGTTTTGACTTCTAGATCCTGACACCTTGAAGTGTCCTTTGGCCCGTGGAGGCTGAGAGCCGTACTCAGGGTGACTTGCACCGACTTGATAAGTAGACAGTTGCAGCGAGTGACCCTGCTGAACCTGCCTGACAGGTGGTGGGTGACAGAGCTGGAAGGGAGAAAAGGAGATTGGCCCCTCACTGCTATACTGTGCTTTTGTATGGGTGTAACCGCTCCCCCCAGCCCCAAACAAGACTTACTAATCTCAGTGGAGCCATTCCTGTGTGGCAGGATTGTGATGGTCTGGGTCAGTTCCCCAGGTGTGGGGTGCATATTCTGAGGAGAGTAGGTCTTGGAGATGGTGCACCAGCCTGGCACTAGATAACCTGGAGTCACGTTATTTCATCTCCATTTTCTTTTGGTCTTTCTGATTATTCAAGGCAAAAGCTTCAGTTTGTTGTTGCAGGTTTAATACCTCTCTAGCCCTTCAAAACTCCCCTTTTAGACAGAGCAGGCCTCTCAGGTGCTCATGTTTTACAGTGGAGCTGTTTCTTTAACAATTACTTTATTTAAAGAAAAAGGTGAGTCAATCTGAAGACAAGTACTAGAGAATATAATAATGCAAGTGATCTGTAGGTATGTCCAATCTGTGAATTTGGTAGAGAATGTCAAAAACTTGGAAAATATTGGTCTGATATCTGATATGGTTAAATTTTATAGCGATCTACAGTCTCTTTGAAACTCAGGACCAGATTTTTGTTTTAATTTAGAATTTTCAGTTTTGGCATGGTACTTATACTGTATATTATACGATGCCTGTAGGAGACCCCCAGGCAATGCCATCATAAGCACAGTGATATTTCTGCGGAAAAATGTACGAATATTTATGCCAAGCAGGGGTAACGAAAGACCAAACATGGGCTCATGTCAGTTCAGGTCAGGTTTTTCTACCAAATGGGTTTTTGAGCAAAACTTACAAAAAAAAAGTTTTTATTTTCAGAGTTTTCTAGATTTTAGAATTGCAGATATTATGGACTTGTCTTTGGAAATAAGTTATATTATTTACTAAAACACTGATCAAATTAATCATACAGATTAATTAATTAGACCCCCACTTGGTTGAAATTAACAGATTCCACCATCTTTTAGTTTGCTTTACTATTTAAAATGACTTCTAGCCAGGTACGGGGGCTCACGTCTGTAATCCCAGCACTTTGGGAGGCTGAAGCAGGCATATCACTTGAGGTCAGGAGTTCGAGATCAGCCTCGCCAAAATGGCGAAACCCCGTCTCTACTAAAACATACAAAATTTAGCCAGGTATCGTGGAGCATGCCTGTAATCCCATCTACTCGGGAGGCTGAGGTGGGAGAATTGCTTGAACCCGGGAGGTGGAAGTTGCAGTGAGCTGAGATCACACCACATCACTCCAGCCTGGCTGAGAGAGACTCCATCTCAAAATAATAATAATAATAATACAATTTAAAAAGAAATAAAATGACTTCTGTATAATTTCTGACCTACCACATAGGGCCAGGCAGATTTTGTGTGTGGAAGAAAAGTTGAATCCCAGTGATTTTTACCTTTCTACGTGAAAACAAAAGTTGGTCCTGGTGCTGCTCTTCTATTTTCTTTTTATTGTGGTAAAATGTATATAACATAAAATTTGTCACTTGAGTTATTTTTAAGTCAGTGGTTCAGTGGCATCCAGCACATTCACATTGTTGTGTGGCCATCACTGCTGTCCGTCTCCACAGCCCTTCCATCTTCCCAGACTGAAGCTCTGTGCCCGTTAAACCGTCACTTCCCAGTCCTCCTCCTCCCAGTGCCTGATAACTGCCACTCCACTTCCCATCTCCATGACTGTGACTACTCTGGGTCCCTTGTACGAGTGGAATTATACAGAATTTGTCCGTTGTGTTTGGCTTCTTTCACTTAGTAGAGCGACTTCAAGGTTAATCCATGATGTAGCATGTGCCAGAATTTCTTCCCTTTTTAAAGGCTGACTAATAATCCATCATGTGTGTATGCCACATTTTAAAAATGTATCCTACATTGATGGACGTTTGTGTCATCCCACCTTCTCTGTCCAATTTATTTATTTATTTATTATTTTTTTTGAGACAGAGTTTCGCTCTTGTTACCCAGGCTGGAGTGCAATGGCTCGATCTTGGCTCACTGCAACCTCTGCCTCCTGGGTTTAGGCAATTCTCCTGCCTCAGCCTCCCGAGTAGCTGGGATTACAGGCACGTGCCACCATGCCCAGCTGATTTTTTGTATTTTTAGTAGAGACGGGTTTTTACCATGTTGACCAGGATGGTCTCGATCTCTTGACCTCGTGATCCACCCGCCTCAGCCTCCTGAAGTGCTGGGATTACAGGCGTGAGCCACCGCGCCCGGCCCCATTTATTGATCTTTTAAAACATATCTGTTATCAGGATTGGCTCGTAGATTTTTCAGTGGGTGACAATCCACAGCTGCCCCAGATTTGGCTAATGGGAATGGCTTTTGGATGTCTGCTGTCTTTTGACATTCTGCATCTTTTTCGGGGGGATGTGGGGAGTGCTTTCCACCATAATGTGATATTCCAGCCTCATGTTGTATCCCTGATGTGGCCTTGGAATCAGCCATTCCTCCAAGGAACTGTGGAGCCTTTCTGTGTGGTGTTTAGGAAGTACGATGCAAAAACATTCTGGTTTGGGATTACAACAACTGTTTGCTCAGCAACAGCAACAGACGGTCCCGAGAGTTAAAATACATGGTTTTCTTCCCTCCTCTGGAGGGTGTCTGTGAGGTCACTGTACCCCTTTGATGTCTCTCCTTCAGTTGTTCAAGAATGCCCATAATGTTTCCAGGCCTGCCGTGTGTGATAAATGCCTCACAATCTTCGGAAAGCTTTCTGATTTACCCTGGGTCAGTCGGTGTCGGGCCAAGTCACGTAAAACAGACAATTAGAAATTCTAGGGGCCCCGGTCGGCTCAGGTGTGACCTCAGACTTGCTCATCCTGAAGCTCAGTTCTGATTAAACGGAAGAAAGATGGTCTCCGATTTACCACGGTTCAGCTCAGGATTTCTCAACTCTACAGTGGGGCCAAACTGGTGCTCACTTAGCAGAAACTGGTTTTCAAGTACCCATACAACCGTTCTACTTTTCACTTTCAATATGGTCTTCAATAAATTACATGAGATAGTCGATACTGTATTACAAAATAGGGTTTGTATTAGATGATTCTGCTCGATTGTAGGCGGATGTAGGCGTTCTGAGCACTGAACCTGAGCTGTGATGGTTTGTAGGTTAGGCGTACTAAATGCATTTCTGATTTACATTGTTTTTAACTTCGGATGGGTTTATTGGGAAGTAGCCCCATCACTAGTCAGGGAGCATCTGTACAGAGACTAGTACCTTTGGAGAGAAACAGCAGGCGACCCAAAGAGGAATGTGATGCACCCGTCTCGTGCTTCTGGACTGATTTAGTCCTTCCTCTTTGTTCTGCTGTTCTGTTTTCAGTTCTCTGGCAGCCACTGTTTTGTAGTTGTTGGCTTGCTTTCTGCTCTTGTCTTTACATTACCCTTGTTCCAGGGTAGTAATGTGGTCGGTCTTGTTATCTGCTGTATCTTTGGAGTGTTACGATATCTGCCATGGAAAAGGTGTTCCTCAGATGCTGGGTACTACTGTGCGGAAGTCCCTGTGTTGGGATTTTTGGTGCATTAATCTGCTTCCATCTCTACAGCATCCCTAGAGATCAGTTCCAGTGATTGTTCCCAAATTATTCCCATTTTACAGGTTATAAACTAAGGCTCAAGGAGACACGTAACCTGTAAAATGGAAATAATTTCCAAGGCCACCAACTAGGAAATGGGTAGAGCTGGTATCAAGCCCAGGTCAGATTGCCCCGGCCCGTTTTCCCTCCGAGTAGCTGGCCCAGGCTGTTGCTTTGCCAAGGACTGATCTGAATTCCACAGGTATTTGTCCGGCAGAATTTGACTGAATGTTGGTCCAGACAGCACCTGAGAGAGTCATTCTTTTATTCATAGAAACTCAAGTCATAGGTAGAGTTATGACTGTGT